ACAACTCTTGGCCACAGACAGAGCCTGCCCCTTGGCTTGTGGGGAAGAGTGGAGATGCGAGGACTTCCTGTGGGACATTGATGAAGATGGAGAAGGAATGACTGGTTTAGAGCAACTGAGATAGTTCTGAACCTCAGGCACTGAGCCCCATGACAAGAATCTAGGAAGCACAAGGCACTGGCCAGCCACGGTCAGTAAGGTGAGCACTGAGCACTAGCTTTAAAAGGCGAGCAAGCACCTTGGGAGTGACCTTGTCCAAAGTCACCCATAAGAACCTGGCAGGCTGGGATCCCTAAGCTTCTCCCCAAACTCTAGAACCCTACAGATTAAACAATGTTGATTTCGCAGAAAACAGACTTGACCACGGGGTCACAGAACCCCCAGGTTAAAGCAACCCAGAGATCCCCTTGGGTGTAGACAGAACCCATAGACCTCCATTTGCCCTGAGTGGCCTCTCACGGCCAATCCAGTTGTCTTCCACCTGCCCCCATGGCCCCTGAGTTCCTGCTGTATGAAACCCCACTCATACCTTCATGAGCAAACTTTGTGCTTGCCTCTGAGCAGGAGTGCCAGCCTCTCCCTGCCCCTGCAGCGTAGCTACTCACCCAAGAGTCACCTCCTGTGCGTGAAGTACTGTCCCCCAGGTACTGTCCCCAGCTAATGGCAACAGCTGTGGCTTACACCTGGGAGCCCCACTGCCCACACTTGACTGAATTCTGGCTTCCCTAGCACTCATGAGGCTGAGGTGGGAAGACAGAAATTTAGGTCAGTCTAAGCTACAGAGAAACTGTGAGACTACGACTCTGTGTAAAAACAAAACAGACAGACAAAAACCCGGGCCTTCTTGTAAGCCTTCACAGTTTCTCTGGATCTCCCTGCTTCAGTATATTTAACTATAAGGGAGGGAAGATAAAAAATAAAGTTTAGATTTCATCCAATTATTGATAAGAATGAAATGTACTAGTCTAGTACACAGAAAGAATAAAGATAATCCCTGCACATAATTGCCCAATAAATATTAGCTATTGGTAATTATTATCACCATTATTATCGTCAACCCATCAGAATGTGAGAAGAAGAGTGAATGTTTAGTTCAATGCCAGGTATTCAGGCATTGAGCAGCCATGTCCTCCTGTACTGTGGGTTAGATCACTTCACAGAATATGAGCACTTGGGGACTGTCTAGTCAGTTGGTCCCGGGTCCCTCTGCTCTGTCCACTAAGCACAGAATAGAGACACAACACATGCTTGCTGTGCATGTCAATTCCTGATGAACCATTAGCTCCTGGTCTGTTTCTAGAAAACAAAGTGCATACTTTCTTATTTAGTAGTGGCATTTATGAACGTGGCACCGATGACTTCAGGAAGCCAGGCAGCAACTTTCTCCAAGGCACAAGAAAACATTTAAATATCTCACCCTGAGCCTTGGCATGTGTGTAGGGCTCCTTGCTGAACCACCTCCTCCTCCTCCACTACAGCTATGTGGAATAGACTCCTAAGGGCTGCAGCAGAACCAGCCGACAACGTCCACTCCAGATGTCTCGGAAGCTTCTTCCCCTGGCTGCCCACAGAATCTGCCCCATGAGAATGTAGAAGCATGCTGCACAGCGTCTTAGCCTCTGCTTCAGTTTATCTGAGACAATAAGGGAGGAGGGTGTCCTGTACAATGTGACCAGCTGTAGTCTGCAGTTTTATAAGCCTCTTGGTGACCAAACCACTTATTATTCCAAGTGCAGACAGGTTTACGATCTGAAGCATTCACTGTGTTGGTTGCTATGGGGAAACCGAGGAAAGTTCCAGCTCAGAGTCTGAAGTGCTCACTTGTATGGGATGGTCTGGCCTTCTCCTCTCCACTATCGGCATGTGCTCCTTCTGTCATTAGTTGATATAGGGGAAGCCTCTTTCTTACTTCTCTCTGTCATCTAGAATACAGAGACAGACAGGCCACGAGACTTATGCTTAAGTAACACGAGACTTCTCGAGACACCACTAACTGTGTGCTCCATTCCAGACTTCTGTGCGTGGGTCCAATGGGCCCTTTTGCGATGGCCTTGTCTGCTGTTGGACCCTTGCTTGCCCCCAAACCCACACTCTGGCTGCCCAGCCCTGCACCTGAGCCTGAGGCCTGGCTCCCTTGAGGGCCATCCCACATTCCCAAACCTTGGCTTCTTGGCTAGAGCCAAGGGTGTTTAGTTCCCTGGCTTTTTGGTCAAAGACATTCCAGAGAGTTCCAGGGAATGAGAGTTGCCTTTAAACCTCTTCCAGAGCCCTATTGAGCTTTCAAAGTGGGAGTGACTCATGTCCTGGCTCTGCCATTAGCTTGGGGGGTCACCCTAGACAGGCCACCCAGCCTCCCTCCTGTGTAGCTGTGGGAGGGGGACATCCCGAGAGCCTGGTAGAGCTATAAATGGTCTCCCTGAAGATCATGGTGGTGATACGCCTGGGTCACAAGCCTCCATCCTCCTGAGTCCAACTGTGGATCCCACAGACCACCTTCCACATGTTCCCACTCTCATGTCCCAGAGGAGACCACCACATGAATACTCTAAAGAGGCCTCTTGGGATATTTCTCATTAGATAGAAACTTTAAAGGAAAGAGAAAATACAGATTTTAAAAAGAAGTAAATCGTCCTACCAGTGAAGGTACTTTATCATTTCAGTACACACCAATAAACTGTCAGTGGGGCAGACACCTGTAATCTTAGCACTCTAGCATTTGGGAGATGTGTAAGTATTTCGGGCGGATCGGGATGGGTCAGGTATTCTGGCATTCGGGAGTCACAGAATACTGAGCGTTACACAGCTCAGGTGGAAAGGTATCCTGGAGCTCGGGAGCCAAGGATACTGAGTGTTACACAGCTCAGGTAGAAAGGTATCCTGGAGCTCGGGAGCCAAGGACCACCACAGGTTGCAGTAAGCTTAGCAGCTTACAGCCTTGCCTCAGGGAAAGGCTTTCACAGTGTATACGCTCCTCTCTGGCAGGACAGGGTCTTCCAGCTGGGGATGTTTGCCCAGTGTAGCAGTTTTGCTCGGGGCAGGAAGTTGCTACAGTTCAGAGTTGCTACAGTTCAGCTCTGCTCCTGGAGAGCCGAGAGCAGAGAGAGCAGGGAGCTGAGTGTAATAACTCGAGCAGAGAGAGCAGGGAGCTGAGTGTAATAACTCGGCTCTGCCAAGGGAAGGTTTCCCCAGCAAAAGTGTTACAGCCCTGCTCGCTCTGCCCAGGGTGGCCTCTGCTTGGTCGCCACCTCTGCACAAGAAGATCTTCACCCAAAGCTCATTGAAGGGGTTTATTGAAAGGGAAGAATCCAGAGTGGCAGAAGACAGCCTGGTAGCATGAACAGACACCAACTGAACAGACACAGGGTTTATATAGGGCTTCCAGGGTAGGGATTGGTCAGATTTTAGTGCTGAGCTCAGATTGGCTAGAGCTCTGCTCGAAGATTGGTTAGTTTTTTGCACAGGATTAGGGTCAGATTTGCCAAAGTGTGTTTCTTTCTCTGGTCCTTTTTAGCCTTTTGGCTCCAATTTTAGAGCCAGGGTGCATTTCTCTTACTGACTCAGATTCCAGGGACAAAGTGTATTCTTTTGGCACTGGTTTCAGGGTTAGGGTACATTTCTTTAGTTCTGGTTGCAGGGCCAAAGTGTGTCTTTGGCTGGTCCCTTTTCCCTACAAGATGGAGATGAAAGGATCAGGAGTTCAAGACCAAATGCTGAGTTCAAGGCCAGCCTGAGCCACATGAGACCCTATCTCTCTCTCTCTTTTTTTTTAAAGATTTATTTATTATGAATACAACATCCTGCCTCCATGTATGTCCGCATGCCAGAACAGGGCACCAGACCTCATTATGAATGGTTGTGAGCCACCATGTGGCTGCTGGGAATTGAACTCAGGACCTCTGGAAGAACAGCCAGTGTTCTTAACCTCTGAGTCATCTCTCCAGCTCCCCGAGACCCTATCTCAAAACAAACAAAAAGCTACCAGTGAAACTGTTAATAAAGAGCAGAGACAACCTTTCTTCCCCTCACTCTTGACTAGACTGTACAGAAATCTCTTTATACCAGGAATTGTTACTACTGTTTAAATATTATTTGACAGTGTATTCCAGCATTATAGCTGATAGCTTGATATTGTATATTAACAATTTGCACAGCCGTCCTTTTTAATTGTATTATTTAGCTAAGCAAATATCTCTGATGGTTCTTAGGTCAGATATGAGGCTACCAGTTTCACCCAGGTGGCTGTTGATGTACACAGCCGAGCCCCATGCCCCCAGGATGCTACGGTGCTGTGTAGCTGGTAGGGAAGGACTTAGACTCTTAATCCCAGGTGCTTCCCAAATCAGCAGTCTAAGAACCTGACAGCTGATGACAAGTGGGATTTGTGTCTGCTGTACCTCAGGCCGTGCAAACGTTGCCTTCTGCAGGTCTGGTCTGTGAACGCGTAGAACTGACCTTGGCTACCTGGCTCCCCCAGTACACACGGCCACGTGAGCTGACTGCCAGTCTCTCAGCCACTCTACCCTCACCTGCAGGTTGGCAGAAGTGGCTCTGTCCCCTTTCCTATGTGGCCTCTCATCAGGGGTTCTAGACTTCCACCCACAGCCGAGGAGGCTGCTGCCCACACTCCTGTGCAGGGTGTGGGGCTGAATGCTAGGTGGGATTGCTCTGAATCAGCCCAAGTGGTGGCTTGGGGTCTGAAATCTGTCTCCAGGGTGGAGACTGTGCTCAGAGAAAAGGGGCCGTCTTTAGCCACCTCTGCACCTGTAAGCTGGATCGTTCAGAATGGTCCCACAATAAAGAAACATCAAACCCGTTTCTCTTGAAAATCAGCCAGAGAAACTGTGTTGACCCTGAATGATGGGCAGAGCCTTACTCGGGTATGCATTGCACTGTGATTTTATCTAGGCCTCAAATCTGCCATCCTTGTGGGGGAGGGGAGCTATGGAAGGGACGACTCCAATCCGTCCACCTGTCACTGACCGCCCTCTCTCCACCCACAGTCAGACGGCTCCATCCTGGCAATTGCCCTGCTGATCCTCTTCCTGCTGCTGGCCCTGGCGCTGCTCTGGTGGTTCTGGCCCCTCTGCTGCACAGTGGTAAGTGGGCCAGCCTCAGGCCACAACAGGCAAGGGTCACATGAAGACCCCAGCTACATCAGTGTGTGTGTGGGGGAACAGGCAAGGGTCACATGAAGACCCCAGCTACATCAGTGTGGAAGGGGCAGAGTACCAGGAACTGTAACAGTGGGAGATAAATCTTGCATTTTTTAAAACAAATTATACAAAAGCAACATAAACCAGGCGTGATCACTTGGACCTAAGAGCACGAGAGGTCATCACGAGCTGGGGCAAGACCACCGAGGGCAAAGCCTTTGGGCACAGACGTGTAGAATGCAAAGATGAAAGCATATGTGTTCGGTATTTGAAAAGCACACAGACAGTGCTGGGTGTTGTCACTATCCAAAAGCACTTTGCTGGAGTTGGGATTTATTGATACATTGTATGATACTGGGTTTATATCTGTCGGAAGTGTTTACCAAAATAAACTTTTCATGACAGGAAGCAGCAGCATCCAAAGCAGGGTTGTTTTGCAATTTTCAAAATAATTTTAAATGAATTTATCTGGTTTTTGAGTGCCCGTTGGCTGGGAAGGTAGCCAGCGTGTCTTCTTCGTGTGGTCCCATTCTGTAAGTCTGAGGGTTCCTGTGTGAGGAGAGATCCTGAAGACAGGCAACCTCTGCTGTTTGTGATGCTGTTGACTGCCCTGCCCCTTATTGCTGACCCTTGGCCTGCACCCCAGTGTTGGACGTGCCCTCCAAACTCTGTCCAGGGATGCTGACTGGGGCTGGGTGAAGTCATGAGTTTCCGGAATGGGAGTGTGGTGTGCAGGAAAGAGGGCCTCCCCACAGAGGCCCATTGAGAGGATTCTGGAAAGTTCCTCCACCCTGAGAGACTGCACCCCACAGTCTTCTAACTAACAGAAGGTGTCTTTGTGAGCCACAGTTCCCAAACCTCCCTCTGTCATTCTCCTTGCTCCTCCTCCAAGTGTGAGAAATGTCACTTGACCCAGTAGCTAAGCTGCATCCATGTTAAGGAAACAGCTAGAGCCGTGGAGGACTTACAAAGTGTGTGCACATGAGGCCTCTCCCTCCCCAACAGCAGCACTCTCTCCAGGAATCAGATTCACAGTGTCCAGCAACCCGCAAGGTCTCCACCCCAGACTGACCAATCTTAACCTGTTAGTCACTGCTTATCCAAGGTAAGGACATAAAGTGGGACCAGACATCAGGCCCTTGAATTCTCTTTCTGAAAACACAAATAATGCACCCATCCATACCTGACCTCCATCCCTGCTGGCCAGTGTCCAGTGAATTTACTGCCCCAGCCCCTGCTCTCTGTTCACAGCTCCCATGGGTCCCTTGTCGAGTAGGCGTTGTGTTCCCCGGTTTCTGCTCATGCCTCCAATGTCTCTGCCCACTTTTGCTGGTACCCTGTGTCTTTTTCTCTCCAGGGTACCTCCAGCCCTTCTCTCCCCAGACAGTGTCACTAAACTCAATGGCTGGCTGCTTCATGTGATCACCCATCCTCAGTGCAACTGCAAGCCACCAGGCCAGGCCCCATTACAGGGAATCACTGGGCAACACATTTACAGGCGTCTTGTTCAAAACGTCCAAACTAGACTCATCACATTATCTTTGGACCTGCTTGTCCCCAGTGGCTGTGCCAGTGACCTCCAACTGCCCAAAGTGAAGCCTGCACTGGCCTCCTATGTCCCCCATAGGCTCATAAGTCTGAACATTTGGTCTCCAACTGATGGCATTGGTTTTGGGAACTTGTGGAATCATGCGTGCAGATACATGTGTGTGTATGTTCATGTGCATATGGAGGCCAAAGTCAACCTTGAGTGTCATTGTCAGTAACATCATCTCTCTCCTTTGAGACAATCTCTCATTGGCCCAGAACTTAGCAATTAGGCTAGGCTAGCTGGCCATGAGCTCCTTCTGTCCCTACCTTCCCAGCACTGGGATCATCAGTACTTACCTCAGTCTTTTTGAACGTAGGCCCTGGGGATGGAACTCAAGTCCTTGAGCTCTCAAGTCATGTGATTTTCAGCTGAGTCGCCATCCAGCCCCACGTGTTCTCTCCTACCACAACCACCATGACCATCCTGTCGCCTCTTGCTGAGATTTTTTTGGGTTTTGCTTTTTAGATTTTCTTTCTCCACTGCCATCAGTTCCTCTGCCTTCGAAACATAGGTCACTGGTGCTCACTGCATCATAGACCCCCCATATCCCGCTGCCCCTCAACCTCTGCAGCAATGTCCCCTCTGTCCTCCCATCTCAGGGCGGCATCGTTCGCCCCTCCAGTGCATACTTACATGTACATTTCCCCCACTGCATCCAACCAGAAAAACAGCCACAGAGAGTAACTCCAAACAGGAGAGCGGTGCCCAGCACATGATTTGCCTATTTCCCAAACTGCATTATAAAAAGCTGACTCATCTTGGGGGGAGGGTCCCACCCACAATCCAAAGAAACTGCATTGGACGGTGGCTTCTTGAGTGTTCCAGTTATCATACCATACTTGTATGTTAATATCATATAACAAATGATACATTAGTTTATGGGGAATGTGTTTGTAACTTTGCTGATACTGTAACAAAACTCTCAACAGGAAGTGGCTTCCAGAAGGAAAGGTTTATTTTTTTTTTTTAATTTCCAGTTTAAATTTAGATAAGAAACGAAGTTGCTTCACAAGTCAGTTCCAGGTCCCTCTCCCATTCCCTCCCCTCCTCCCGTGCCCTCCCCCCAACCCCCCCCCCCCGTTATCCCCTCATTCCCCCAGGGAGGGTGAGGCCCTCCATGGGGGCGTCCATAGTCTGTCATTTCATATAGGGCAGGGCCTAGACCCTTCCCCAAGAGTTCAGGGTGAGAGTGCACCTCACATTGTTCTATGGGAGTCCAAAGTCCATGTGTATACTTGGGATGGGTACTGATCTGCTGCCCAAGGCTCAATAGATTCCCTAGGCCTCTTCACTGACACCCAAATTCAGGGGGTATTGATCAGTCCCATGCTGGATTCCTGGGATTCAAGAGTTAACCTTTGTCTGGTCAGCTGTTTCTGGGGGTTAAACCAGCCCAGTCTTAATCCCTTTGATCACCAGTCCTCCCTCTCTGTTACTGGCTTTCTTGAGTTCAGCTCAGTACTTAACCAAGGGAGTCTGCCTCTTCTTCGATCAGCCACTAAATGACGTTTCTGTTTCCCAGACTCTCTGGCCATAGGATTGTAGGCTGGCACTCCCCAGATCTATGTCTAAAATCCATATATGAGAGAGTACATGCCATGTTTCTCTTTTTGTGACTGGGTTACCTCACTCAGGATGGTTTCTTCTAGTGTCATCCATTTGCCTGCGAATCTCATGATTCCATTATTTTTTTCTGCTGAATAGTACTCCATTGTGTAGATGTACCACATTTTCTCTATCCACTCTTTGGGTGAGGGACATCTAGGTTGCTTCCAAGTTCTGGCTATTACAAATAAAGCTGCTATGAACATAGTGGAACAGACATCGTTGTTGTATGAATGGGCATCTTTTGGATATATGCCTAAGAGTGGAGTTGCTGGGTCTTGTGGTAGGTTTATTCCCATTTTTCTGAGGAATCTCCATACTGATTTCCAAAGTGGCTGAACCAGTTGGCCCTCCCACCAGCAATGGAGGAGTGTTCCCCTTTCACCACATCCTCTCCAGCATAAATTGTCATTGGTGTTTTTGATTTTAGCCATTCTGACAGGAGTGAGATGGTATCTCAGAGTTGTTTTGATTTGCATTTCCCTGATGGCAAAGGATGTTGAGCACTTTCTCAAGTGCCTCTCAGCCATTTTAGACTCCTCTATTGAAAACTCTCTATTTAGTTCTGCAGCCCACTTTTTAATTGGGTCCTTTGCTGTTTTGGAGACTTGCTTCTTGAGTTCTTTGTAAATTTTGGAGATCAACCCTCTGTCAGATGTGGGATTAGTGAATATTTTTTCCCATTCTGTGGGCTGCCTTTTTGTCTTGCTGACTGTGTCCTTTGCCTTACAGAAGCTTCTCAGTTTCAGTAGGTCCCATTTATTAATTGTTGATCTCACTGTCTGTGCTACTGGTGTTATGTTCAGGAAGCTGTCTCCTGTACCAATTCGTTCAAGGGTACCACCCACTTTCTCTTCTAAGAGGTTCAGTGTGGCTGGATTTATGTTGAGGTCTTTGATCCATTTGGACTTAAGTTTTGTGCATGGCGATAAACATGGATCAATCCGCATTCTTCTACATGCCAGTCTCCAATTATGCCAGCACCATTTGTTGAAGATGCTTTCTTTATTCCATTGTATATTTTTAGCTTCTTTGTCAAAGATCAGATGTTCGTACGTGTGTGGGTTAATACCCGGATTTTCAATTCGATTCCATTGGTCTACCTATTTTTGTGCTAATACCAAGCTGTTTTCAGGACTATAGCTCTATAATAGAGCTTGAGGTCAGGGATAGTGATGCCTCCGGACGTTGCCTTGTTGAACAGGGTTGTTTTGGCTATCCTGGGTCTTTTGTTTTTCCATACAAAATTGATTATTGTTCTTTCAAGGTCTGTGAAGAATTGTGCTGGGATTTTAATGGGGATTGCATTGAATCTGTAGATTGCTTTTGGCAGGATTGCCATTTTTGCTACATTGATCCTACCTATCCAAGAGCATGGGAGATCTTTCCATTTTCTGAGGGCTTCTTTAATTTCTTTCTTTAAAGATTCAAAGTTCTTACGATACAGGTCTTTCACTTGTTTGGTTAGCGTTACCCCAAGGTATTTTATGTTGTTTGTGGCGATTGTAAAGGGTGATGTTTCTCTGATTTCACTTTCAGCCCTTTTATCATCTGTATATAGTAGGGCTACTGATTTTCTTGAATTGATCTTGTAGCCTGCCACTTTGCTGAAGGTGTTAATCAGCTGTAAGAGTTCCCTGGTAGAGTTCTTTGGGTCATTGATGTAAACTATCATATCGTCTGCAAACAGTGAAAGTTTGACCTCTTCCTTCCCAATTTGTATCCCCTTGATCCCCCTTTGTTGTCG